CGGGAAGGCGAAGCGGGGGGCTTCTGGCCGGGCCAGCCCGGTGGGGTGGGTTCCGGGGGCCCCCGTTGAGCGTTACCCCCTCTCTGCACCACTCGAGTGCGGGGAGTGCGTTTTTAGCGCAAGGAACCCCGAGGGAGCGGGAGCCCTCTTCGTCTCCTCGCCTTTGCGACTCGCTCCGAGGCACCGGGCGCGATTGGGCGGCGAGGGGTGACGCGCGCCTTGCAGCACACGCGGACCATCGCCCCCCCACCCCCCACCAATGTTCCCTCTAAGCTGTGGAGTCCCATGAGCCAAAATTCTACTTTGTGAGCTACCGGCATTAAAGTTGTGAGCGAGCGATTTGGCTACTGCCTAAATTAGTTTGCTCTGGAGCCCCATCCTTCCTGAGCTAAGGCAAAAATGCATGAGCCGGAGGCTAAAAAACTGTGAGCTAGCTCACACTAACTCAGCTTAGAGGGAATACTGCCCCCCACCCCGAGCCCAGTTTGCTTTCCCGGGTCCTTAGCCTGGAGGGCTCCGCGTGCGATCCGGGGGCTGCTTCCGTGCCCCTCGAGCCGCCTGCCTTCTCCCCCGGAACCCGAATCCCGCCCCAGGTCCCACGCGGGGCTTCCTTGACACCTCGAGAGACCCGACCCGTCCACACCTCCAGCCTCCAACCTCGGCCGGCGTCTCTCGTCTCACCCCCGGGAAGGAAAAAAAAATCGGTCGGGGTTCGAGACGGCTTTTGACAAGACCAAGAACTGGAGGGCGCGCTGGGTTTGGGCGCCCGCTTCCAGGCCGGGGGGAAGGGTATCCCGGGCAACGGATCTGGCTCCTTTTGCAATCCCCCCCCCGCTCATTATTTCTCTAATTATGCCATTAGAGGTCATCAGTGTCGGGTGAGGAGGGACGCGAGCCGCGGGCTGAGGTGTGGGATTCTGAATTTCCCCGGGTCGGCTCATTCCCAAAGAATTGCGGGGGCAAACGAGAACGGGACAAATGCAAACGCACACACACGTTTTCTCCCTCCCCCCGTCCGTCCCCCCATCAAAGCACACTTGCTGCGAAAGATCTGACAGGAGATTAAATGTTAAAACACCCCCAAACCTCCTATTTCCTTTTATCCTGTATTGATCTTATGTCTTGCAAATTTTGTCTTACTTTTTAAATGAAGGACGTTGGGTGGTGTTTCGGGGAAAGGGTGGGTTGGAAGGGAGGGGGTTGATCCAGAAAAGTTCAGGAAGCAACGGGGACGTAGCGAGAGACCCCAAAGGTTCGGGAGAACAGAGAGATCTCGAGGGACCCGCTCCTGACTGCTTTTTTCTCTGGGCTCGACCGCACCCCGGGGAGGGTGGTGTTTGCGCACCCCGGTTCTTTGAGACCCCCACCCTGGACTCGGCGCCACTGACTTTAATCTAAAGCGCTTCCAAGAAAGCGGATTCCCGTGTATCTGGTGCGCTAATCTTATTCCAATAGTTATGGGTTTATTACATGATATAGGACCAGAAAGGAAGTATTCGAGTCTTTATTGGATTCGGATCCCCATAGATTTTACTGCGGAGGGGGGGACGTTGCAGTCTGAAACACCGGAGGTAAAGGAGAAATTTGCCGTGGAGTTAGGAGATTCCTTTATGGATTTATTTAGGAAAGGAAAGAAAACGGGAATGCGATTCTCGGATGTGAAACGTGCAAAGAACGATCTACCTCCAGAGAATCGCCACAATCCCGTTGGAAGAGACTTTGGTCTGGATTCCAACGAGGGAGACGAGAGGTGTATCTCTTGAAATTTCGGATCTTAATGTCCCATCGTTTTGAAGGAAAGAGAACGCATGATGGAGAACCTGAGAAAAAGGGGAGAGGAAAAGCCCGTTTCTCGTTTTTGTTCTGTAGCTTCCTCGGAAAAGCGATCGGCCTCCGAAGAAAGATAAGCAAAATGTCCGAGGAAGATTCTCGAGGAAAAATGGAACAGGAAATTCACCCCAAGAACGCCGGCGTTGGAGTGACCAGATACACTTTCCCTAAACTAGTTTGTTCCCTTCGGCAAATAATCCTCGTGTCTGTCTTGAAAGTGAGGCGGAATAGATTCTCATGTAAAGAGCTGCTGCGCAAAGATTTACGCCGGATTTCGTGTTCGGGGAATTTGTGCAAATGAAACCCACCACGCGGGTAGAGGGGAATTTTGTCCTGTGTTCAAAAAACAGATGAGCAGCCAAGTATCTTGAAGAATGAGGAAGAGATAGAACTCCTCTCGCCATTTCGGGACCGATTCGACTCCTGCTAAACTTCTCCTCCTCTCCTCTTCGACAGCACTTCGACTACAACGGCCGCACTTATTTGTTTATGGCTTGATATTATTAATTTAGGGCTTCAGACTATTTAAATAAATATATGTACATGTATCTTTTTTTAGGAACATCCCTTCAGACATCTCTGCTTCGAGGTTGTTGATTCCGCCGCCCCCAAATCGCAAAATCTAATTGCCTCGGTGCAAAATTGGGCTACTCTAACGGAAATCGAGGGTTTGTGCCTCAAACTTTAAAATACTGCAAGCAAGCTTTGGAGTTATACAGGACGCTTCTTCGCGCTTAAATGGCCCGATCCCCATATATTGTGTCTTTAATTAAAAGAAGAAGAAAACGTTACATAACGTGAATGGCATTTACCTTTAGCTGCATCGCTTTCTTAATTTCTCTGAAAACTCGCGAAGTGTCGCAGAGCCTTCGGCGGTCGTGATAGCCGGTCACCGCATTCTTTGTCGCGAAAAGAGGCGACCAAATAAATAAATAAATTCTTATCGCTTTGCCCCTCCAGCGTCCTCCGGGAGTCTTTCAGGCGACTCAGAGTCACTCGCTGGACTGTGCTGCCCTCGTCTGGCGAAAGGAGGAATTAACAGTTGCCCCGGAAAAACTGCCAGGCTCTAGGAACGGCAAAAACCAGCGACATCTAGTGGAATTTAGTACCGTAGCTCAGATTAATCATTTGGCTATTTTAAAGGGGGGATAGAACCAACCCCGCTTGGACATCACACGCCAGAGGTGGAATTTGCCCCTAGGAGTCCAAGGCCACGCCCCCGCGCCATTGCAGCTGCCACCAAGAGCAGGGGCAGCCGCGGTGGCCATAACTTTTTAAAGAGCCCCTAAGGAGAGCTGAGGAAGCCAGAATGACCTCTCGGACATCACACGGAGAGGTGGAATTTGCCCCTACGAGTCCAAGGCCACCACCCTGGGGCTCAGCCAGAAACGTTTCCCCCCCCATTGCAGCTGCCGCCGAGAGCAGCAGCAGCCATAACTTTTTAAAGAGCCCCTAACGAGAGCTGGGAGAGCCAGAATGACCTCTTGCACAGGTGTCATCACACACCAGAGGTGGAATTTGCCCCTACGAGTCCAAGTCCACCACCCCAGGAGCTCAGGGATCCCGTGGTTTCGCCCTGCCCCCGGACATTGCAGCTGCCGCCAAGAGCAGCAACGACCCCAGCGGCCATAACTTTTTAAAGGGCCCCTAACGGAAGACAGGAGGACCTGGGGGGAGCTGGTCCATGGGGTCACGAAGAGTCGTATTCGACGGTGCGACTGAACAACAACAACGAGAGCTGAGAGAACTGGAATGAGCGTGCTTTCCATTGATCTGGGCATGGGGGTAGGGCACGTTAGGCAGTGGGGCTCCGAAGTCCGAGACACGCAGACGATGCATTCAGGGGGACCATGCCCCGCGTGCACGCAGCGGCTGGAGCGGGCTCGAATCCCCAGATGTTTTTGCCAATCGGCAGGCCTTTAACGGGAGGACGCGAGCCTCGTTCATAGATCGTCTCTGAATGCAAGGTCTGCCCGGCCCGCCCGGCCCTGGGATGATTTGCCCCCCGTCCCCCGGTGTCGGTCGTCGTCCCTCTTCTTCGGCCACTGCCTTTGCAGACCGGACTGGCCTCTGCGGGGGGATAAAGCCGCATTTCACGCCTTCCCGGGACTGCGCGCGAGAAAGACGCGCGCACGTTCCTCCTCCGCCCAACCAGGCTTGGGTGACGGGGCGGAGCCCTTAGGACCAGCCAATCAGCTCCTCAGCCGCTGCCGGGCTCCTCCTCCGGCGCGTTCCGGTCTCTCGGCGTGTTCTGGCCCCTATAGGCCGCCGTCGTCCGGGCAGGCACGGGGCGGAGCTACAAGAGGGAAGCTGTTGGGCCGTGTCTGGCTGCGAGGGGAGGCATGGAGCGCGCCGCGGGGGCGCGCCTGAGCCCCGGTACGAAAGGCGAGAGGAGCCGCGGGGCGGGGTCAGCGAAGGGGCGGGGTCAGCCGGGCCCGCCCTCTTGTCTGGGATGCCAATCTCCAGGTGGCGGCTGGAGATCTTCCGGAATCACACCGGACCTCCCGACTGCATAGATCAGTCCCCCTGGCGAAAAGGGCGGGCACTTGGGGAGGGCACAGTGTGGCATTGGACCCTGCTGGGTCCCCATTCCCAAACGCTGCCGCTGCCCTCTCTCCAGGGTCCACCCCCAAATCTCCGGTAACTTCCCAAACCAGAGCTGGAAACCCCAATGGAGACCCCCTGCGCGTTAGATCTTCCCTCTCTTTTATCCTCACGACGACCCTGTGAGGTGGGTTAGGCTGAGAGTGCGTGATTGGCCCAAGGTCACCCAGCGAGCTTCCGCGTGGCAGAGTGGGGATTCGAACCCAGGGCTCCCAGGTACTAGTCCAGCGGGCTTTGAGGGGTTGAATGTCACGGCAGGACTGGGGATGAGAAAGCCAGGCTCAAATCCGTATTCTGCCGTGAAGGTCTCTGGGTGATCTTGGGCCAGTAGCTGTATCAGCGTGGCCTAACTTACAGGGTTGTTGTGAGGATAAGAAGGGGAAGGGTCCCAAGAGCCAGTGTGGTGTGGTGGTTGCAGTGTTGGGCTAGGGCTTGAGAGACCCCGGTTTGGATCCCCACTCTGCGATTGGTTGATTTAAACATTTATACTCCAACTTTCTTTGTGGCATTGCAGTAATATTTTAAAAACATTCCCAGTTAAAACCAGAATTACTTACTTAAAAAGGCACAGGTAAAGGTTTCCCTTGCTCGAAAGCCAGTCGAATCTGACTCTAGGGTTGCGGTGCTCATCTCTGTTTCAAAGCCGAAGAGCCAGCGCTGTCCGAAAACGTTTCCGTGGTCATGTGGCCGGCATGACTAAACCCCAAGGCGCACGGAACGCTGTGACCTTCCCACCGAAGTGGTCCCTATTGATCTACTTGCAATTTCTTGCCTTCAAACTGCTAGGTTGGCAGGAGCTGGGACTAGAGACGGGAGCTCACTCCGTCATGCGGCACACTCGGGTCTCGAACTGCTGAACTACTGACCTTCCACAGCTTGCAGTCCAGCGTCTTCACCACTTGAGCCACCGCAGCTCCTATTACTTACTTACTGACCCAATAATACAACAGGGTCTTAAGAGGTCTAGCACAGAATTTGAGCGTCTAATTACACAAGGAAAAGCAGGTCATAGAGGGCTCATTTCTGACCTTGCTGGACCGAGGGTCTGATGCAGGATAAGGCAGTAGTGCTGTGAAAGTCCTGTTTTACCGTTTTAGTACTCAAGCATTGGAATAAATTCTTGTACTTAGAAAAAGCACTTGTGTTCAGAAGGTCTTTATTGCTTTGGGCGAAAGGCCATTATGAGTTATCAAACAAACAAAAAACAACAACGTAGGTATGGATACCCTGTGATTTTCATCCTCTTTTTAAGGAGTTTCCAAGTGGGACATCCGACAGAAAATTTGGGATTACATGGAAGCCAGTAACTTAGCTGATTTCCCAAGACCTGTCCATCACCGGATTCCTAATTTCAAGGTACAGCTGCATGCTTAAGGAATAACAATAATAGGAATGTAAGACCCCCCCTGATTGACCCTTTTTCTTTGTCATCACAAAATGTGGGGGAAAGGCTGACAAAAGTTTCATTTGGACTGAGTGATGTAAAATGCTCTAAGCAAGCTTCTGAGTTACACAGCACTCTTCCTCCTGCTCGAGGAAGCCCAGGGTTGCTCTGCAGAGGCAAGCAATGGCAAACCACCACTGTTCATCTGCCTTGCCCTAGATGGCCCAGGCTAGCCTGATCTCATCAGATCTCAGAAGCTAAGCAGGGTTGACCCTGGTTAGGGCTTGGATGGGTCTACACAGAGGCAGGAAGCGGCACACCACCTCTGCTCATCTCTTGCCTTGGAAACCCTGTGAGGGATCGCCAGGGGTCATTTCCTGCAGGAGCGCACAGGAGTGGAGCTCTGGCAATAAGGAGCCCAGGGGGCGGGCACATGCAACAAGCCCCACCCCCTGCTCCCAGCAGCCCTCAGTCCGAGCAAGAAGCAGCCACCCAAGTTGCAGAGCCCTCCCGGCCCCCCGGTCCAAAACAGTCCAGTGGCGCCTTTAAGACCAAGTTTTATTCAGGTACAAGCTCTCCCTCCTCTGCTAGGACAGATCTGCACATGTGGCATATGCAAATAAGTTAAAGAGCCAGTTTGGTGTTGTGGCTAAGTGCATGGACTCTAATCTGGGAGAACCGGGTTTGATTCCCCACTCCTCCTCCACTTGCACCTGGCTGGATGACCTTGGGCAAGCCATAGTTCTGTCAGAGCTGTTCTTGAAAAAGAGCAGTCTGTGTCAGAGCTCTCTCAGCCCCTCCTACCTCACAGGGTGTCTGTTGTGGGAAGGGAAAGGAGTTTGTAAGCCGCTCTGAGACTCCCTTGGGTAGTGAAGGGCGGGGTATAAATCCAATCTCCTCCTCCTCCTCCTCTCCTCCTAATGATTTATGCTAATAAGCTCCTGCACCTCTTTTTCTATGAAATGACCCCTGGGGGTCGCCATAAGTCGGCTGAGACTTGATGGCAAAAAACAAGATAACAGATAAATAAGTTTGTACTGTGAGAGGCAGCCAACCACGTTAGAGAGAAATTAACACCAAAGGCGGTGGTGTTAGGTTGGGCTAGGGTCTGGGGGATCCAGGTTCGAATCCCCCCTCTGCTATGGAAGCTGGCTGGGTGATCTTGGGCCGGTTGCACAGTCCCAGCCTGACCTCCCTCACAGGGTCGTTGCGAAGGTAAAATGGAGAAAAGGAGAATGCTCTAGGGCACTTTGGGTCCCCACTGGGGGGGAAAGGGTGGGTTGTAAATGGTGTAAATAAATAAATTTTAAAAATACTACCTTTACAAACCTCTTGTGATAGATGAAGAAGGAGAGCTGGTTTTTATACCCTGCCCTTCACTACCCAAGGGAGTCTCAGAGTGGCTTACAGTCTCCTTTCCCGTCCCCACAACAGACACCACCCTGTGGAGTAGGTGGGGCTGAGAGAGCTCTCTCAAGGACTGCTTATTCAAGAACAGCTCTGAGAGAAATTGTGAGTGACCCAAGGTCACCCAACTGGCTGCATGTGGAGGAGGAGTGGGGAATCAAACACGGTTTTCCCAGATTAGAGTCCTCCGCTCTTAACCACTACACCACGCCAAAACATAAATAGTGGCATTAAAGTTGTGAGCGAGCGATTTGGCTATGGGATCGATTAGTTTGCTCTGGAGCCCTCCTTGCTGAGCTAAGACAAAAATCTGTGAGCTGGAGGCTAAAAAATTGTGAGCTAGCTCACTCTAACTCAGCTTACAGGGAACACTGTCCACAACCTTTTTGCGCCTGTGGGCACCTCTGGAATGCTGACACGGTGGTGGGCGCCACCACAGAATGCCCACCATGGGAAGTGGAGCCAACCACAACACACAGACCCACAGAGGAAACCCGAGTGCCCAGAACAAAGAGGACTAATTTTAAAAAATACACTAGGAAAGAGTGAGAGAATAAAACAACAGTGTGGTTCCTTTGATTCGTACAGCCAATCAGCTCTGTAATAGCCAGGGCTATTTTTGGGCAGGAACGCACAGGAACGGAGTTCCGGCTGGCTCCGGAGTTGGCCACGCCCAGCAGGAGCTCATTAGCATAATAGGCCACACCCAGCAGCAGAAACTCATTCGGATTGGCTACTATTAGGGGTTTATGGCCTAACATGCAAAAAGCCCTGGGTTTTGATAACAAACAAGGTAAACAGAATAAGAAGCAAAAGGTGGGTGTGGCTGGATGACCACACTTCTGGTAACATGGGGGGGTGGCCTAATATGCTAATGCGCTGTACTATCAGGGGTTTGGCCTATTATGCTAATGAGTTCCTGCTGGGCTTTTTCTACAAAAAAAGCCCTGGTAATAGCCAACTGCACAGGAGCCCCATTTGGCCCCACCTATTTCTAAAAACACCTGGTGGGAGCCAGGAAAGCTGCCGGTGGGCTCCACGGTGCCCGCGGGCCCTGTGTTGGGGAACCCTGGCTCAGGTAGTCGTTGGCTTAGTGAAGGAGACATCTGACTGAGGGATGTGTTGGGGCATGACACCATCCCTCTTGGCAAAACAGGGTGCCCCACGGGCCTGCGCGAGGCTTCTGGATTTGCAGGAGTTCCGACGGGCCAGGACAGTTAAAGTCAACCCCGACGCCCCGCAGAGGAACATCCGCTTTTTAGCCCTGGAAGTGAGTATGTCGTTTCCGATGTTTTTCTTGACGTAGGGGTCTTTCCTGATGAACCACTGCATACGAGAATGGGAGGTGTTTGAGAAAGCGAGGGAGGTCAAGGTGGACCCCGACAAACCTCTGGAGGGAGTCCGGCTGGCTGCGCTCCAGGTAACTGACCTTTCTCTCGACAGGGGCGTCCGGCTCGCCACCCTGGGGGTGCCTAGCTCAGATTATCCCCCAGAGTAAATCACTGTCAAGGAGGAAACCCACTGTGGTGCCCTCAGTTATTGGGGAGATGGTTTTGCCTTTTAGACACTCTCTGTGTAACTAAACTTGGTAGATTTCTGCTGCCACCAGGATTTAAAAATTCCAAATCTCTCTTTTTTGGTAGAATGACCTAGGGTCTGGGCACTTTGGAGGACTATGTGGCCCTGAGGAAGGACTATTTCTGGGATAAGTTTAAACAAAAAATGATTTACTTAATAAAGAACAAAATAGTTTTCTGGTTATTTTGAACTGTTGCTGATGAAAGGAACTTGTAAATATAACTGGCAAAGCTTGGTGTCACAAATAGTCTCTCAAACTCCCAGAACTCCACTCTTGACAGGTGCAGACACTCAGTCTAATCTCTCTCTCTATATATATCCACACATGCTGAACTCTTTGTCTTATTCACACAGAATAGACTCAAAAACTCCCATAGTCACACAGACTATGCTCTCCCTTCAAACTTCACACACATAATCCTCTCATAGACACCCCTCCTCCCACACTCTCAGTCATCAGCCAATCACATCACACTTGTCTCCTTCTATCACTCTCCTTACATTACTGCAGTCACACTTAACATTTAAAGAAACACACACACCAGAATATGAAATCATTACACCCTCTTTTCTGGTTCCTCACGCATCGCCCTTCTGACCTATATCTTTCACAGGCTGGGAAAACACTCCTGGTGCCGACGCCGCGGCTGCGAACGGGGCTCTTCAACCGGATCGTCCCTCCCCCGGGGGCAGCCAAAGACACCCTGAGAAAATGTGCTACCTCGCAGGTAGGAATCAGGCACCTGGCTGGGAGGGAGGGATGAGGAATCCGGCCTTCTTGCTTGCGTTCCTTCCCAAGGACACCTTTGGGAAGGTTTATTTTGGTTGTATTTTGACACCCCTTTCCAGCCAAAACTTGCAGCGATTTAAAATAAAGGTCTGGGATACAGGGGAAGATGCTGAGGCCAGCAGTTCTCGCCACAGTAGCAGGTGCTTCCTCTTCTTTTCTTTCTGGCCTCAGTTACAGCAAAGCGTATTTGGGTGGAGGGCAGCTCTCAGCTTGAACCGGGTCCAGGAACCACAGAGGGATACCTCTTGGAGCGGCCTTTGTTGTGCTAGCTGGCGACAAGAGCAGCTAGAGAAGAATTTCATGGCTATGCCCTTTCTCGACCTGATCCATATATTTCTGTGCCTTTTCCCTGTCTGGGTCTCTGCAAACGACAGCCAGTTCGTACAATTCTGGACCAAATTAATAGCATCTGTTGCATCGATTGCTTTTGGTCTCCTGGCTAGCCGTGTTGTACACAGTGAAAGTGGCACTCTGCTGCCCTCTAGTGCCCACGTGGAGAAAGCCAGCATGTGTCATGGGAAATCTTGTATTACCAAAGTCAGATTTGAGATGTGATTTCTTTCAGCCGGAAGTTGCCTTAGACTCACCGAAAGGACAGGCTGGTAGGTTGCCAGGGATTAGACACAAGAGCTTACTGTGGATACAGAAGAGCTTTGTTTTCAGAGCAGGCCGGAGAGGGGAGGGTTCTGGCTCCAACGCTTTGCTCTCCCTGCTCATGCTGTGTTCCCCTTTCAGGGTGTCAGGGACTATAGCGTACCCGTAGGGCTGGATGCAAATGTGCTGGTGGACCTGGTGGTGGTGGGATCCGTGGCCGTTTCTGAGAAAGGTACGTGGCAGGGGGGAGAGGACACATTCCTCGGAGCACAAATGTATGAGCCGGCTGGTTGGCTTGGGACTGGCGAGACCCGGATTCAAATCCCCGTCAGGCCCGTGGCCAGAAAATGTTGGGAGGGAGGGGCCGTTTTTTTGTAGGGGGCAGCGGCGAAAAAGGGCCACTGGAAGGAGCCCTGCTTCTTCTCCAGCTTGCCGACAAACAGGGAGAGGGGCGGCGGCGGCTGCTCACTGAGGTTGCCCTCCGTGGTGGGTGGGGAGGGGGACAGGCCAGGGAGGGGCAAATTTTTTGGGGGGTGCTGCCCTCAGGGCAGAGGAAGCAGGTAGGGGGCAGCCGCCGCGCAGCCTCGCCTGGTTCTTCCCACCTGCATGCCCGCTGAGCTGGAGGGGAGAGCAGAGGGGGTGTGTGGAGGGGTGACGTCACCGAAAGGGGCTATGTCACTCTGGGCCCTTGTTGCCCCCCCCCAAAAAAAATTCCTGCTCCAGTCAACAGGCCTGCCAGGCTGAGATGGAGAAGCTAACGGGAATGGATTCGAATTCCTTGCTCAGCAGAGTGACCTGAGGCCAGGCGGCTTGTCCGAACATCCAGTTTAGAACTAACATCCTCCGTTAACTCTGTCATGAGTCATGACTGAGGTGCTGGTGGACTTCTAGAGCTCCAACATTTCTGCTACGAGGAAGAGAACAAAAATTCTCTCAGCAGGAGAAGCGGGAATGCAACAGACATGGAACAGCACCCGCGGGACGATCAGAGAGTGAGACTTTTAGAGAACACTTTGGGCTGGTGCAGGCAGAGGTCCTGGGCCTCGCTGTTCAGAGCTGGGGAGCAGGAGATGCTGAAAATGAAGGCCCGTCATCGAAACCTGAAAGAAGAACTGTGTTGTGTCCTGACCCAGCCATGTGCACGATCCAGGTTCGTCCGGTTCCGCACGCGGCCAGTTGAAGTACCTGAGCTTCGCTCCCGAACATAATAGACATTTGGATCCTAGTTCTCGGCCATTCGGGAACCTAGGGTACCTAGGTTTAATCTAATCACTGTAGATAGACCATTCACGGGTGTCGGGTGTGTGGGGGTGTGTTTTTGTTGGGTGATAGTGAGATATTGAAAAAATGGTCTTTAGCAGAGCTAAGATAGTCCAGCCAGAGCCAAAGTAAAACAGTTCAGACTGAGAGTCCATGTGTGATTAAAATATAAAGTTTTTACTAAATTCTAGCATGGGAAGGGTAACTGGGATTAAAATAACAACAGAGCATAACCTGCTACATCCTTACTCTACAGAGACAAAACTAGAAGAGAGAGATAGTATGGCTACTCTTCTTCTTCTTCAGAACACCAAACAAAGACGGGAAGAGAAGCCATAAAATGGTAATACACCTTGACACTTTAGTCCCAATCAAATCCCTAGATCAGGGAGAAAATTCCCGGGCTTCCTACATCTAAAGAACATTGGTTACATGAGAAACATGTGACTTCCTGTGAGTAGCATAAACAAACATTTAACCCCAGATATACTGGGTGTTTTCAACTTGTAATACCCAACAGTTTTCCTTGGGGCATATAAGCCGACCTGCGAGCCGGCTACTTTGTCTTGTTCTTTCCGAATAAAAGTCTTAGAGCTGGAATCACGAGTATGTCTAAGGACTTTTCAAACGGAAAACTAGGCGCCTTCATCTAGTCAGAATCCAGCTAAACCATGGGACCAAAGATGGACTGGCCCAAGTGAAGCAGAAATCTGCTAAAACTATCCAGGACCTGGAGGAGCAGCTGGCAGCCAGCCAGGCCGAGGGCGATGCTGAGCGATCCAGGGCAAGGGACGGAGGGAGGGAACATGGCCGTTTTGGCTCCCTACGAGAAGGGAACTGACACACACATGTGCTTATTTCAATGTAATGTAATTTTTTCGTAACCTCTGTTTGTTGTGATCCACCCTGAGCCCGCTTTGGGGAGGGTGGAATAAAAAATCAAATAAATAAATATATAAAGCCCGGCCTGCTGCAGGCCTTTGAGCTTCCACTGCTGCTTTTATTCCCACCCAGTAGCCAGCTCCGATCTCAGGGCAAAGCTTCACAGAGGCTGAGGGCCCAAGTACTCGCCTGGGCCGACCCTTGCTTCCGAGCAGGGGTCATTTCCTGTGGGAGCGCACCGGAGCGGTGCTTCGGCAGTAAGGAGCCCAGGGGGCGGGCACATGTAACAAGCCCCGCCCCCTGCTCCCAGCAGCCCTCAGCCAGAGCAAGAAGCAGCCAGGTAAGTTGCAAAGCCCCCCCCCCCCCCCCCCAATAGCTAGCAATCCCAAACAGCGCAGTGGAGCCTGAGCGGTGGGTGTTGCCTTCTGACACACTTCCGGTGATTTTAAGGCGGTGTGGCATATGCAAATAAGTAATGCTAATAAGTTATGCTAATGAGCTCCTGCACCTCTTTTTCTACGAAATGACCCCTGCTTCCGAGATCCAACAAGATCAGGCTGTCTTGGGCCATCAACCCTAGTTAGCCTCCAACTCAGCCTCTTAAACAACCTGGAGCGACAGAAAGGGGGAAAAAAAAACCCTTCCCATGGCCAAGTGTGCAAAAAAGTGCCAAAACTGTAGTTTCCCTGGGGCAGGGAGCTTCCTTCTGTTTGACACGAGTTCTAGAAGAGACAGATATAGACCTAGTGGGGAAAAGAGAGTGTGCACCCCCACCCACACTCCTCCTCTTTCCCCAGAGGAGACCTAGCTCACGGCCCTAGCTGTTCCCGTATGCAGCAGAGAAAAGAATTTTTTTTAAAAAAAATCTTAAGAGAGAGAAAAGGAAAAACACGATCATGTCGGGAAGACTCTGCTGCCCTCGATGTCCCCGAGGTGATGATATCACTTCTGGATGACGTCATCACATCAGGGACGTTGCATACAGCGATGTCACCCTGCCCTCCACTCCCGGAAGACTCCATCTCTCCCCCCCTCCCGCCAGCAGCAAGGTAAGACCCGGCAACCCCAGCTGCTCTTTGAAAATCTCCCCCCCCATGCTCCTGCAGTTGGCTGAGCTGTTGGTGGTGAAAGTGGTCTGCCATTCCTGTTAGCTTCTCTCTTTTTCTTTTTTTTTTAAACCCCCAAAGGGATATTTTTATTATTTTTTCATAAGACTATATAACTACAAAGGAATAAAGGAAGGGGGACTGCAACTATGGATAAAGAAAAGATACCCACACTAACTAAAAACCCAAGAGGAGGAGATCATATCCGTGTTAAACTTAATGGTAGTAATTAGTGTTAGTAAAACAATATACTTGTAAAGTTCTTGTTTTTCGCAGCTTCAGTGTTAATATGTTAGTTGTTGAGAGCCAGTTTGGTGTTGAGAGCCAGTTTGGTGTAGTGGTTAAGTGCGCGGACTCTAATCCGGGAGAACCGGGTTTGATTCTCCACTCCTCCACTTGCACCTGCTGATGTGACCTTGGGTCAGTCACAAGCTCTGTCAGAGCTGTCCTTGAAAAAGAGCAGTTTCTGTCAGAGCTGTCTCAGCCCCACCCACCTCACAGGGTGTCTGTTGTGGGGAGGGGAAGGGAAAGGAGTTTGTAAGTCGCTCTGAGACACCTTTGGGTAGTGAAGGGCGGGGTATAAATCCAATCTCTTCTTCTTCTTGTTGTTATGAGAGAGCTTTCTGAGCATCTTCTTTACTTCAAAAGGCGATTTTCAAAGTCCTTCTGCCTTTACTTCGGTTTTCTATCTCTAAAATCGTATGCAACTCTCATTGCTCCCGCACCCGTTTCTACCGCAGAGTCCTCATCCGTTCCAGAGGTGGCAGAGTCGCTTGCTTTAGTCTCTTCGTCTTTGGATTCTTCCCCCGATCCCAGCTGACGTCTCAATAATTCCTTGGCTTTAAAAATGGAGTCAATCTTCTCGCTTTTATTTTTCATTTTAAAGATGACACCTTCGGGGATCGCCCACCTGTACTGAATTCCATTGGTTTGAAGGAAAGAAATTAAATCCTTATAGCTGTTCCTGTTAGCGTCTCCATCTCAGCCTGGCTGGGGGCGGGTCTGGCATCCTCTGGGTGGGGGGCTCTCACGTGAGGGGGCGTCTCCCCGTTGTGCTCCACCAGGGCTATGGGCCTGATCCCTGCTCAGGCATGAAGCTTCTGGGACGACCGGTTTGTGGCCCGTAGGGGTGAGGGTTCAAACTCAGGTCTAGAGGACAGTGGTTCACAAGTCACTTTTCTGCAGAATGACGTATGCTCAAGCTTGGAAACAGGACAGAGTCCCTGAAATTGGGGAATGGATAAAGAAATTACTCTTTATGGGTGAAATGGACAAAATGACAAGGAAACTTAAGAATTTGGAGGCGGAAGAATTTTTTGAAGACTGGAAAGATTTTAAAGCATATTTAGAGAAATACTGGGATGTCAAGACCAATTTGATTTGCTTTGATAGTTACTAAAAACTAAATGATAATAGAATAAGGATAAATGTATAAGACTATTAGTTAATATATAAGTTACCTATAGATTGTGAACAACGAGAAAGGGAGATATAAAGAAAATCTAAGATATGGGCTGGAGGTTGGAGCACTGTGGGAAGCCAGAAGGGAGTGGGGTATAGTAGAAAAGGATGTATGATAACTAATTTGATATATGTTTAACTTTTTATTATGTCCTAATAAATTGTTTTTTTGGGGGGAAACAAGTCACTTTTCTGGCTCTGTCTCATCACGCTAGTATGTGTAAGGGGGCGATGCCTCTGCTCACGTGCAGAGCTTTCCCCCACACACACTTCCTTCTTTACGGTGTCCCGCTTTAGGCTGGCGAATCGGGAAAGGGGAAGGCTTTGCGGACATGGAATACGCCATGATGGTCTCCATGGGAGCTGTGAGAGAGGACACAGTCGTCGTCACGGCCGTTCACGACTGCCAGGTAATGATCATACCGCACACGAACGCGTGAAGCTGCCTTCTACTGAATCGGACCAGTGGGTCCATCCGACTCAGGACTGGCTACTCAGACTGGCAGCGGCTCTCCAGGGTCTCGGGCAGAAAAGGGTCTTTCGCATCACCTGTTGCCAGGTCCTTTAAGTGGTGATGCCGGGGATTGAACCTGGGGCCTTCTGCATGCCAAGAAGAGGCTCCGCCACTGAGCTATGGGTGGCTGGCTTCCCGGAGGCAGAGACAGCTGGACAGAGGGCGCCATCTGAACTGAGCAATGCGGCCCAGTTTCCAGGCTAAGAGAAAGCTAATTTGGATGGCTGTAACCAGTGTTCGGAGCTGCGGTGGCTCAAGGGGTTAAGACGCTGAACTGCAGGCTGTGGAAGGTCGGTAGTTCAACAGTTCGAGACCCGAGTGTGCCGCATGATGGAGTGAGCTCCCATCTCTAGTTCCAGCTCCTGCCAACCTAGCAGTTCGAAAGCAAGAAATTGCAAGTAGATAAATAGGTACCAATTTTTGTGGGAAGGTAACAGTGTTCTGTGCGCCTTGGTGTTTAGTCATGCCGGCCACATGACCACGGAAACGTCTTCGGACAGCGCTGGCTCGTCGGCTTGGAAACGGAGATGAGCACCGCAACCCTCTAGTCAGATTCGACTGGCTTTCGAGCAAGGAAACCTTTACCTTTAACCAGTGTTCCCTCTAAGCTGAGTTGGCGTGAGCTCGCTCACAGTTTTTTAGCCTCCGTCTCACACATTTTTGTCTTGGCTCAGGAAGGATGTGGCTCCAGAGCAAACTAGTTTATGCAGTAGCCAAACCGCTCACTCACAACTTCAATGCCAGTCGCTCAAGTGTAGAATTTTTGCTCACAAGACTCCACAGCTTAGAGGGAGCATTGGCTGTAACATGCTCTGGGAAGCAAACATATTGATTGATTGATTGATTGATTTTATTTATATTATCAGATTTCTACCCTGCCCTTCCAGCCAAAGCCAACTCCCATCATTTATAGTCCCATCTTTCTCACTGCGACTCAAGGCAGATTATACAGAGTCAATACAGTCAACAAGATGGGACATTTGAGCATTTGAAATAGGATTTGGGTTGTAGGAGTCTTGAACCTTCCAGAAATCCAAAAGACAGAACTGCAGCAAAGCATAAATATTCCCATGGCACATTAAAGAACACAAAAATCACATTGTAGGGTCCCACTTCCAGCAAGCTGAACACAGTAGTGTAGACCGCAGTCCTTAATCATTTAGACAAGAAACTTTGTGAATCGTTTTGTACAGTGCAACCCTATTAGGTAAAGGTAAAGGTTCCCTTGCTCGAAAGCCAGTCGAGTCCGACTCTAGGGTTGCGGTGCTCATCTCAGTTTCCAAGCCGAATAGCCAGCGCTGTCCGAAGACGTTTCCGTGGTCATGTGGCCGGCATGACTAAACACCAAGGCGCACGGAACGCTGTTACCTTCCCACCAAAGCGGTACCTATTTATCTACTTGCAATTTCTTGCTTTCGAACTGCTAGGTTGGCAGGAGCTGGAACTAGAGACGGGAGCTCACTCCGTCATGCGGCACCCGGGTCTCGAACTGCTGAACTACCGACCTTCCACAGCCTGCAGTTCAGCGTCTTAACCACTTGAGCCACCGCAGCTCCTTGCTATTGCCTGCGCAGAAAAGCCCTCTTGAATAATTCAGTTTTGCATCACAAAGCTTGAGTCCAATAGTGCCCTGAAGACCAATGAAGTTTTATTCGAGGTATAAGCTTCATGTGCGTGCACGAAGATATAAGCTTTTGTGTGCATGTCTCTGAAGAAGTGTGCATGCCCATGAAAGCTTATACCTTGAATAAAACCTTGTTGGTCTTAGAGGTGCCGCTGGACTTGGGTGCCACTGGTCTCAAAACATGTTCTGCTGCTTCAGGCCAACGCAGCTGCCCCCCTGGTTCTATCAGCTTTGCATAGTTTGGGGAAAGCCGGTAGAGGGGGACCCATCCTGACCCCCCTCAGGCAGGCCGCTCCACAAAATGGGAGCCACAACCGAGAAAGCACGTGTATTTTATTTATTTATTTATCTTCCAGATTTTTTTGCCCCGCCCTGGCCGAAGCTGGCTCAGGCGGCTCACATAAAAACAGATGCATAGAATCATAGAATGTAGAGTTGGAAGGGACCTTGCAGGTCATCCAGTCCAACCCCCTGCACTCTGCACGAGCATAGCCGAAAGATAGCCCTACATACCGACAACATACTTGAAAGATGGTCGTCCAGCCTCCGCTTGAAAACGTCCAGCGGAGCATCCACCACCTCCCGATTGGTTTACATTAAAACATAGTTGTGGTTAAGGCAAATATAAAATAATTATAAAGTGCTCGTGGCTCTTAATAGTCATATAGCGGTAGCGGCCAGTGTCGAACGTTCTCCCGAGTGGTTTACATTTAAACATAGTTGTGGTTAAGACAAATATAAAATCATAATAAAGTTCTCACAATACAAGAACTCCTTGTGGGCACTCCATGAAATTGCTGAGCGGTCGGGTTAGAACGGATACAAGGAAGTCCTTCTTCACCCAAGGAGTGATTAACACTTGGAATTCACTGCTGCAGGAGGTGGCGGCGGCTACAAGCATCGACGGCTTCAAAAGGGAATATACCCTATTACAGATAAGTTTAAATTATAATAGGTCAACAATCTACATAGTGAAAAGTAGTGTTAAAAGGTCTGTCAAAGATTAATATTTACCTGATTTATTGCTAAAAAAATTTCTTCTCCAAAATATAAAGATATCCAGTACAATATTGAGATTAGTTAAATGTTGACTGTATATTTGTTCTTGATGATTGATGTATAGATTATGTTGTTATTAGTACTAACTATTTTTTGTTAAAATTGAAGTGGTTCTATCTTACTTTAACAGTTGTATGCATTTTTAATACTTCAATAAAAAAGTGTTGAAA